ATATATATATATATATATATATATATATATATATATATATATATATACATATATATACATATATATACATACTACTACTTACTACTTGTACTATTCCTACTTCGCAGTTTTTAACTTATCGCAGGGCTTCTGGGTACGGACCTCTTCTGATAAGTGAGGGACTACTGTACTAACAATCTATCATTAGGCTGGTAATCCTCCTTTATCATGTGAACAGCTAATTTTGAATGTCAACAACAAACTAGTTGATCCACTATGAGAAGGGGCTATTTATAAAACCGAGCTTATTACAGCTCCTCAGACTGACGAAGTATTTTGGATTAAAGAAGAAATGTCTCAACAATTGTATTTTTTTTTTACTTTTTGCATCCGTCCAGAGGACCTGACTTAACTTTGTTAGATCTGAATAAAGCTCCTATAAGTAATCATTGGATACCCATCTACAATTGATAAACTCTCATTAAGATGACTGACTTTCATTCCTCTTCTTTCAAGTGCATACATCTACCTCTCCAAGTTTTCTTCCACCTGTTCCCTGTTCTCATCACAGATTACAATGTCATATGCAAACATCATAGTCCACAGAGATTCCTGCTTGACCTAATCTGTTAGTCAGTCCATCACAAGAAGGGGCTCAGAGCAGATCCTTGATGCAATCCTACCTCCAGCTTTAAGCTACCTGTCACTCCTACAGCACATCTCACTACTATCCTGCTGTCCTCATACATGTCCTGTACCAGTCTAACACACTTCTCTGCCACTCCAGATTTCCTCATGCAATACCACACCTTCTCCCTTGGCACTCTGTCATATGCTTTTTCTAAATCCACAAAGACACAATGGAGTTCTTTCTGATCCTCTCTGTTCTTCATCAGCATCAAAACAAAGATGGCATTTGTGGTGTTCTTTCTTAGCATGAAAACATACTGCTGCTCACAGATAGTCACCTCTCATCTAAGTCTAGCTTCCACAACTCTCTCCCAGATCTTCATTGTATAACTCATCAACTTATTTTCCCTGTAACTGCTACAACTATGTACATCACCCTTGTTCTTAAAAATGGGCACCAGTACACTTCTTCTCCATTCCTCAGGCATTTTCTCGCCCTCAAATAAGCCATTGAATATTTGAGTCAAAAACCTCATTGCCATCTCTCCAAGACATTTCTAAACCTCCACTGGTATGTCATCAGATCCTACTGCCTTCCCCTTCTTCATTCTTTTCAGAGCTTTCCGGACTTCACCTTCACTAATCTTTCCCACTTCCTGGACCACAGTTTATATGACCTCTACTCTTCTTTCTCTTTCATTCTCTTCATTGATTAGCTCCTCAAAGTACTCCTTCCATCCTCCAGTCACACTCTCCTCACTTGTTAGAACATTACAATTCTTATCTTTAACAAGCCTAACCTGCTGCACATCCTTTCCTGCCTGATCCATCTGTCTCGCCAATCGGTACCAGTCCTTCTCGCCCTCTTTAGTGACCAGCCTCCTACACAAATCATCATATGCCTTCTTTTTTGCCATTGCCACATCCTTCTTTGCTCTATGTTGCATCTCCTTAAATTCCTATCTTTTCTCTTCAGTCCTCTCACTGTCATATTTCTTCTTGGATAACCTCTTTCTTTGAATAGTTGCTGTATTTCACTATTCCACCACCAGGTTTCCTTATCATCCGTTCTATGTCCAAATGACACACCAAGTACCTTCCTACCTGTCTCTTTAATTACTGTTGCTGTAGTAACCCGGTCATCTGGAAACTCTTTCTTACCATCCAGAGTCTTTAATGGTTCCTCTCTAAATTGCTCACATTCTTCCTTCAGCTTCCACCATTTGGTCTTCTTCTCTGATTTTACTCTTTTTCTCTTCTTCACAACAATAGATATTCTACACACACCCATCCAATGCTGTCTGGCCACACGCTCTCCTGCTACAACCTTACAGTCTCCAATCTCCCTCAGGTTTCCTCTTCTACACAGAATGTAGTCGACCTGCCTACTCCTTCCTCCACTCTTATAGGTCACTCTATGTTCCTCCCTCTTTTGGAAATAAGTGTTGTCTACAGCCATTCCCATTCTCTTGGCAAAATCCACCACTATTCTTCTTGGTTTCTTTCCTCGACACCAAATCTACCCATCACTTCCTCATCCCCTCTGTTTCCTTCACCAATGTGTCCATTCAGGTCTGCTCCAATCACCACTCTCTCCTCTCTGGGAATACCCTCTATCACTTCATTCAGATCCTTCCAAAATTTATCTTTCTCTTCCACATCACATCCAACCTGTGAACCATAACCACTGACAATGTTTAGCATCAGACCTTATACTTACCTGCAAACATCACACTCTTTTCATCTCTACTACATTATTTGTCAACTCCTCTTTCAGGACCACCCCTACTCCATTTCTCTTTCTATCCACACCATGGTAAAACAGTTTGAACCCTGCTCCAATGCTGCGAGCCTTGCTGCCCTTCCACTTGGTCTCTTGGACACATAAAACATCTACCTTCCTTCTATGCATCATGTCAGCCAGTTCTCTACCTTTGCCTGATCTTTGTCCCCACATTTAGAGTTGCAACCCGCAGTCCTACATTCTTGACTTTCCTCTTCTCCCTCTGTCTCCTGACACGTTTTCCTCTTCGTGGTCTTCGACTAACAGTAGCACAATTTCCGCCAGCACCCTATTTGTCTATAACACCGGTGGCGGTCGTTGTTAACCCCGTTCTCAACCAAACCGGTATGGTTTCGCTCTGATGAACTTGCATTATAGTTTTGGCCAAAGTGTTTTATGTCGGATGCCCTTCCTGACACAACACTCATCATTTACCCGGGCTTGGGACCAGCACAAGAGATACACTGGCTTGTGCTCCCTAGTGGCTGGTTTGACTACACATTCTACATGATTTTGCTTAAAACTCTGGTAGTAAATGTTGGCATCAACCCTTTTTGCCTGTTAGAAAAACATCACATTAACCACTCAACAGGTTTGAATGAAACCCTCAGAAAAGAATCATTTGATGTATGTTTACAACAGATTACGTTTTTGAGTCAACCCAATTCAAGACTGCAGCTGCAGTGACTTTAGCCAACAGAAAATGGCTACGACTCCACCAATTTTACTACTATTAAACTAAAATTTGATGTAGTAGTAGCTGAGCAACATCCTTGACACATATTAAAAGCACTATAATGTATTTTTTTTATTAGCATTAACTGTTGGACTCAACCCTGTGAGCCTGTTAGCAAAATATCATCTAAACTATACAGATTTTGATGCAACTTTCAGAAAATAATCATTGAATGTACATCTGCAAATTGTTGTTGTCATCAAAAACCAACTTTGATGAGCTGGTCACCTTGTTCAAATGCCCAAAGGCCCAAACAAACATTTTATTCCCCAAAACAACAAGGGAAAATAAAAAGAGGAGGTCAGAAGAAATGCTTCAAAGACACTTTGAAGCAGAACCTCATGAAACATCAACTGGACCAACTGGGACGAGGGTGCCTGCATGGAAATACCAAACTGGAGGACATCACTAATCAAGGAATTGACCACTTCCAAGAAATTAAAAACCAGACACCTCAAAGAGAAATGACAACAGAGAAAACAACCAATGCTGATTGACCCAGATGTCCAACGACCACCTGTGCAGACTGTGGAAGAGTCTGAGCACTTGGACTTTTCAGTCACTGAAGGATTCACAATCAATAAGAGACGGTCATCCTCAACGTGTGACAGCCATGACCACTGAAAGATGGCCACCACAGCTAACACATGGCCAACACACAAAACATGACACTAACTCAGTCAGTTTGCAAGTGACTGAGTTACAGTGACTGACACAACATTGGTGTGGTAGCTGAGATTCACTCACAACTCATCCTCTGAATACTACAGATTCCCCAACATGGCAGACTGCCTGGTTTGACAGAAACTGCAGTAAATTCATCCGTCTCTGGATTAAATGGTTCTAGTCCAAAACTCTGGTTTAAAGGTGGAAAGGGGGTGATATGCATTCATTCAAGGGATGATGCATGTCCATGTGAGGAACAATTTAAACAAATACAAATACGCTATTTTATTTATTGCCTTCTAGGCGCAATAAACAGTATATTTTTAGTCAGAAAACAGTCTTATTTTTGCGCTTTAACGCATTCCCTGTACGTCAAATAAGAATCAATCTTGTGGAAAGCGTTTCCTTGTGGCTCTGGTCTGAGCTCTAATCTGCTCAGGGTTCCACAACAACACGAGCTGGGCAAGCCCATCAGACTCCACACGCAGGGAGGGGGGGTGGCGGGGCTCCTCCGCTCCCCATCACAGGAGGCATAGCAGCGTAAACACGAGGAGAACCAACAGAAACGTGATTTTTCCAGGGAGGGGGTCGGAGCTGCGCTACGGGGGAAAAACAAAAAGCACGGGGCTGCGGCGGCGCGCGCCGCGATAGGCTCCCACCGAGTGATGCGTCCCTCGGATGGTTGCTATATGCCCACTGCGCCACGCGAAAACACGCGCGCACACACGGCGTGCGCGAGAATGCGCACCGAGTCTACCAGGTTTTTGCATGCGCGAGCGCGTTCCAAACGGCATTTAATAGCAAAAAAAAAGAAAAAAGAAGGAGATCAGAGTGATGGTATGGATGATGGTGATAATAAATGGACACGCGGCAGCAGCACATGCCGCCCATAGCTTGATGGTCCACCCCACCCTCCTCCACCCCACCCGCTTCAAAACACAACCCACTTATTCACGTTAAACACACACAAAAACCAAGACATGCGGACAACAGACGTGCATGTGGGGGTCAGGGATGCGCGAGGCGAGCCTCCAGGGCAGGACGGGCCTGACGCACAAACACCTAAATGAATGGAGCAAACCCCCGCTCCCCGGGTCTTACAGTTGGACTGGAGGTCCAGCATGGCTTGGTACCACTCGTTCTGGACCTCCTCGCTGTCCGCGGCCACGGCGAAGCTCTCGCTGCGCGTGTACAGGACGATCATGTGCTTGTTCTTGGAGTCCGCGCGCTTGTTGATGTTGAAGCACGTCTCAAGGCTCAGGACCTTCTTGGGCACGGGCGACTTGCTGCGGAATTTCTTCTCGTTCTCGTAGTACTCGAGCCGAGCCGGACCGTGCTCCGAGGCCGCGCGCAGCACGAAGAAGCGCCGGTGCATGGATTTGTGCTTGCGGAGGTACCCGCTCTTCTGGACGTCCTCGTAGCTCTGCGGCTCGGCCGCCGCGGGGTTCTCCATGGCCGAGCCGCACGAGAAGGCGGTGTTGGAAACGGGTTCGGATCTCGGGGAGGAGGGGGGGTCAAAAACAGGCTTCATTTATCCGCGGCGGCTACATCCCATCGTCCTCCCACCCCCTGCGTCCTCGCCGAAGCATCAAGGAGCATGTGCGCGAGAGCTCGGGATGGGAGAAATCAGCCCGACCGTCATGTTTTTTTTTAGGGGTCTGGGATCATGGTGGATCCAGCAGCTGCCGGGGGTGGGGGGGAGGGGGCCCGTGCACAGAGCGCGCACGAAGACCACCTCCGCTCGTCCTGCAGCCCGGCAGCCCTCAGGTCCAAGCTCGGTGCGGTTCGGTCGCGCGAGGACGTCTCCTCTCCTCCACCTGTCTGAGGATGCCCACAGCCTGTGGAAACCCTCTGCTGTCAAACACCCGGAGGAAAAGAAATGAACTTCCTGTCACGTCGTTTCAAAATAAAACCACCTTTCAAGTTGTTAATTGTAACCATTTTATTTTCCACGTGGAACAAATTGTATATTTCAGAGGGAAATATCAAATTAGTTAGTTAGTTTATTTGACAGGGACAGTGCACACAAACATAGAACAGAACAAGTCTGTGACTGATGTGTTGCACAATAAAGAGTAAATATAGTTAATTCACAACTCCAGTCCCTGGTTGGACATTTCTATGCAAAAAAAAAAAAAAAAACTAATTAGCGTGCTGCTTATTATCTAGCTATTTAGTTAGTTAGATATCTTGTTAGCTAATTAGCATTCAGGGGAAATATTGAAAGTCCAGCAATTCCATGGCATTAAATAAACACACCCAATGCTCTTTATTTCAACTAACCTCTAATTTCTTCTTTAAATTTCAACAGTAATTTATAATAATAATTTAAGTAGGTAGGTACTGATAATATTTTTTTTGTCAGACAAGTACAGGTACAATACTTCAGTTTGTGTCCATACTGTGTACAAATACTTAGTAGTTAATGAGTTAGTACTTAAATGTTTCACAAGCTAGGACTTAAGAAACACATTTTTTAATTAAGAACTTCAAACAGTCTGCTGCCTTATGATCTTTTCTGTTTATCCTAAAACTACCTATAAACTATGAGTATTTTTACCTTTTTGTCTTCAGTTGGTGGAAGAGCAAATGACATCACCAAACAGAAATGTGGTATCAGTTTGAAGTATTGGTGTGTTTTTCTTAGTACAAGTAACTGAGGCTGGAATCAAGCCTGATACGAAGTACCTGATACCGATAACAGACCAATATCCAATGCCAGTACAGATTGTATTGGGACATCATTAATTTATGTTGTGAAAAATGGCTACATTTGATGTATACAATCTGTATGAGAAGAGTAAACAGAACAAAAAGAAAAAGAAACGGTAAAGTTGCTTAGTGGCTTGTTTGTATCACCACATTTGTTCCTCACTGCCCGACAGCAAACTTGTTATTTTGTTTATTTGTCATATGTAGGTTAACACAAGGTCAACAATGCATGAACAATGAAATGTTCAGGATGAGAATAACTGATTTCACTCGCTAAAAACAAACAAGAAATACTAAAGCATGCAATAAGGGTACAAAATAAAGTAACAAAAAGTGACAAAGAAATAAAATATTTACAAGGTCCAAAAGAAATATAGTAAACAACAACATGGTAGAATATAACGGTGCAAGTTTGATGAGAATAAGTATTTCACAGGTAGTAATATAAGCTTAAATGCATATGATGTATAATGTACATAACTAACTTAAAGACAGACAGACAGAATAATTATACTAAAATGTAAGTCTCAAACAAACAGTTGCTGAGCAAAAACAACAGTCAAATAAAAAATAGTTTATGAGTCATAAGCAACAGAAAGCTCTGATAATCGTGTGTTGTCAAGTTTCTACAATGTTTTCTGTAGTAGAAGTAAAAAAAATTCTCACTTCCAGATTTCGGTTTGGTTTCAGCATTTTTGTAAGCAGATCAAAAATCTAAACTACAAACTGCTCCTATGGAGTAAAATCATTTTGTGATTGTTTTTGTCTTACTGTTCACGTTAAAATGATCAAGACAAATGCACTTTTATTTTACAAGCAGTTTCCGGAACCTCTTTGCTTTATTAAGGGAAACTTGACTTTTTTTTTATTTTTTATTTTTTTTAATTTTTTTTTAGACTGGCACCTCCAAGCCGGCGTGTCAGTCAAAAGGCAGGGATGCATCATGGCTGGTGTGGAGCCTGGGAACACTGTCATGATCATATGTTTGTGCTATGGCATTCTGGGGCCTCTAATCCAGCTGAGAACATCTGCACAACATGAACAGCCCAAAACATCACACCCCATACAGCTGAAAACATCCACATTATTAATATATACATATTACATGTAAATAAAGATGAAGTTCTCAGTATATTATCTGCACAATAATGAGCATATGATAGGAACTTAGTACTTGCATAGCAAGTTGTGACCTAATATTACTTCATCACATTGCAGTTAAAGCTCAGTTTAATATAAATCGTAAATCATTTTTACAAAGCTGGTCCTCCACATATTGCTTTCCTCCTGAACCATTTGCAGTACTTTGTATATTCCAGGTTGAACTGATGTTAAATAAAGAGTCAAGCTTAACTTTTTGATAGTAAATGCAATGTTTTTAATGTTCTTTGTTGTTATAGATGAGTGTCAAACACACAGCAAGGACAAGCAGATCCATCTGTTCTGGTTTTTTGGTTTGTTTAGCTTTTAAGGCTAATGAGAGAGGAGGGGAATTATGTTTGTTTAGAATATAATCCATAAACTCCATAAACAGAATTTTCAGTGTCACCTACTGCAAGATTATTATTTTTGTTAAGAGTTATTGCTATGAAACTGATATATTGTGAGGTAAAATCCAAAGTAGACAGCATGACAAAGTACTAAAACAAGGTTTAATATACAAAGTTTGTTTTCTCAGTCATCCAGGTATATAACAACAAAAAAGGTTGAATCATGTCATCTGGACTTCGTTTTTTT